TTTCCTGCGTCTCTAAAGTCACATCTGCAGCAGTAAACATGCTTGAAATGTCATTTCTTCGTTTTCCAGAAACATCCTCAATATTTAATAAATCTTAATTATCCTGACGTCTCTTCATTGGCCTCACGTCCTACAGGTGACTCTGAAATCTGCCTAAAAACTCACTTTCCTGCACAAAATGTCGCCTTTGTCCAGGAGTATCCTCGGTTTCATAAACAACTAGATGCATTTTGATAGTTATCCTCACGTCTCTGGTTTTTTTAACTTTATCTGCACTTTTAACCAACGTCCTCACGTCTACAGTTTCCTCGGTTTGTAAATCCTCAGTTTTAGAGTCCAGATCTGGTTTTAGTTCAGTTCACTTCAGATTCCTGTTCATGTTTTATACCACTGACCCTGAACTGAACCTAAAACCTCGTCTTGACTCCCAAACAGGACCAAGTGCAGGATTTCAGAAGCAAACAGTTTTATGACACAAACGTCTCTCTTCATGTGTCCTCAGCACCTTCAAGTAAACATCTGTCTCTTCTGAAATAAATTCACTTTAAAGTTTGAATCTTTAGTCAAGCAGCAGCATGAAGATCAATAACTGATCGATAATGCTGTTCTATGAATCGATCGGTGCGTTCGTCTCTACTGATCAAACACAATGTTTGGTTTGAAGTAGCGTCGTGTGAAGTCTGACGCTTTGAATCCAAACTGCTGGAAGACGACGTTCAGGGAGAAACTTTTCCACCTGACGTGTCCTCCAGAGAGCGGCGATGCGTTCAGGGGCATTCTGTCGCCTCGGAGCTTCTGAACCTGTCTGAGAATGTTCCTGCAGCAGCAGCAGTGTAAATCGACAACAACAGATTCATGTCTTATTGTTTAAAGGGTTGTGAAAACTGTGAACTCTGTGGAGGAACAACGGTCAGACAAAAACCACAAAGTGAAAGTAAAAGTTTGACAACGCTGAAAAACACATCTGTCGAACCAACACAAAGACACACAAAACCAGCACAAAGANTTTCAGGGTTTGAATACTGTTTGGAGACTCCGTGTATGAAAACTCTGCAGAGACTTGGTTGAGTGTGTTGAGTGTGACTGTGTGTTGTTACCGAGTTCGAACATCTGCAGGGGGAGGTGGAGGAAGCCTGACAGCGGGGTGTAAGGGTTGGACTGTCCGGGGGCGGAGCAAACATCGTCGGCCGCCGGCAGCAGCAGCAGGAACGAGACGCCGTGACCGAGTTCGACCACCTCCTGACTGTAGAGCCGGAAGTGACGGGCCTGGACACACAACACACACACACAAAACACACAACACGGACACACAAAACACACAACACGGACACACACAGTCGCTGGTGAGTAAAGCTAACCTCGACCATAAACCGACTCGGCCTCACATGAACAACACACTCAGTGATTTTAGCCTCTTTCATGGATTCAGGATTCTTTTAGTTTCTCACAGCAGCAGACGAGTGTTTGATAAAAGCAGGTTTGTTTGGAGGTGGAGCTTCGTGGATCCATTGCTGTGGCGGCGGGGGGACGATGTGTTGGTTGAGAAGACACTGTGGAGCGTCTGGTGGGGTGACGGCGAGGTTACCTGGTGCAGAGGTAGGTTGATGTGCTTCAGCAGGGCCTTGATCGCCGTCTGCAGCTCATAGAACAGTAAGGGGGCGTGGCTTTCTGCTCGGGGCCCCGCCTCCTCGCCGTCGTCGCCGCTGCGCTCCTTCTCACCTGCCGCCGACAGCGTCTGGATCCAATCCCACTCCTCCCTGATGGACACAGACACAACAATCGACGGTTTTGGACAAACTTTCTGTTTTGTTAAATTTCAGGTAATAATTTATTTTAAATGTAAAAAAAAAAAGTGGTTTTGATGAAATATTAAGATTTTAAGCTTCGATTCATTGAAGCTTCACGACTAAGCATCAAGTCACAGATGAGCAGTTCGAGGACTGTAGGAAAGCTCTAAATCCAGTATTTCCTTCTGTTTTCACAGTTTGGAGAACTTTAGAAGATAAAACGTGTTTGAAGGTTTAATCAGGAAACTCAGCTGATGCACGGAGGAGCCGAGGACCAAGTCTGTACAACATAAAGGTCGAATAAAACAAAAGATGTGAAGCGTCGCCTCCACAACAAACCAATAAGGAACATTTCCACAACATCGGCGGGGAACAGCAGCAGCTTTTATTTCGTTTCTTTCACCCTCCAGTCTGTCGTTGTTCGTCTCCTGTTTCTGCAGCAGAGAATCTCTCCGTCAGACCTTTTAGTTTCTCACTTCACACTTTCCAATCTGTCCAGCGTCCAGGCATTCCTCTGACCGAGCCAAACAGCAGAACTATGCCGGAGCCGACTGGACCCAAAACAAAGACGCTGATTAAACCTGAATAAAGTCGCGCCGAGGCTGGAACAGTTTTCATTCGTCAAACTGAACGCTCACCTCAGCTCACCTGTCCCGCTCACCTCCCAGGTACACAAACACCCTCCCTTCCTATTGGTCAGGTTAAGTCATGTGACTGTTTTCCCGCTCACCTGCCATGAACTCGGTTCTGTTCCTTCACTGTTGGACTTTTCCTGTCCGACTACACAGGAAGTGAAGCTTTGCTAGTGTCTGCTCAGGTAGCGTTCAGGTAACCAGGACACACACACACCATGATCCATGAGCTGATTCACTCTGTACGGACCAACACACCGGCCTGCTGCCGGGCTCGTACACAACAGAACCACTGGGAGCTGAGGCGGGTCAGTTTTAAACAGATCAGC